TATAAATTAGTATTTTTAATTTTTTAAATAATTACTAATATATCAATAAATTGTTGAGGTGTTAGTGGGACCACTTTTGAAAGAGTGTTGTTAATTATTGATGTGAGAAATAATTACAAAGCTGACGTGGCTTAATTGAAAGATGAGTTGGTATTGCACTGATATAGATGGTCTAACAAAACTAACAATTAAAAAACAATTTCCACACAGACTTTAGTTGTTGATAAGTTGGAGTGAATAGTAGTATTTCTAATACATTGTCACATAAATTTTTCTAATGACAAGTAAGTTTTTTTATTGATACGTAAGCTTAGCATTTACATTAAAAAAAATAAAGGAAGCAATAATGTGTGATTTTAAATATGTTTATTTCGAAAAAAAATAATAAAATAAAATAACAAGAACCAATCAGAACACATCATCTTCATTTTCTCTCTCCTCTCTACTCTTGGTACATTCTTGACGACAGCTCCTTAACGAGCGCTTGGGGCGGTGTAGAGCGAGGGTTATTGATTAATATTTTTTTTGTTAACTTTGAAATGTTATGAAACAAGAAAATTAATTGAATTTTACTTTTAAAAACTATATATTTTCATGTTAATTTAGTTTGAAAGTCAAACATAGCATAAATTCATATTAAAATCTGTAAAAAAACAGATAAGAGGTCGTATGGTAGACTCATAAGGATAAATACAAAAACAATAAGCCAATATGTAACATAATTTTCAAAAAAACCAAACATTATTTGTGTTGATAATTTTTGTATAACAGTAAAGTATGATGGTATAGATGAAATATGAAGTTCGTTAAAATATGAACTTTGTGTATTGCGACACGAAAACAGTTTTTTGTTGATAATTTTGGTTAACTTAACAATACAGGTTGTATTATAATTCTTCTTCTTCATAAAAATGTAGTTTTTTTTTTTTTTTTTTTTTTTTTTTTTGTTAATTTTGAATTGTTATGAAATAGGAAAAGTAATGGATTTCGAGTAGAAGATGTATCAATTCGTAATAGAGATTTCAGATTTGTATCTTTGTATTACGAATTGATGTAGGCGAAAACGAATGCAGAGGGAGAATAACAAAGGTATTAGAATGGTTATGGTTATTGTAGTTTATATAACACCGGTGATTAAACGAAATTAAGGTGAGTAAAGGAAAAGATTTCGTTGTATGATTTAAAAAATGGAATTATAATTAATAGTTTCTAAATCCTAATGTAAGGTGATGCTGAAATGGAATTCAATTAATAGTTGGTAATATAACGTCATGAATAATTAAAGGAGAATATTACACTATTTAAAATTTTTAAATTTTTAAAACTAAAAGAATATATTATGCTTTAGTTTCATCAAAATCTGTTAGAGTTTATTATTTTTACATTTTTGAATTAATCAATATTGTTTAGTTGTTTACAAAG